TGTGAATCCATTTGGTCTTGGGCTTTTTTTGGTTGGTAGGCTATTAATCACTGCCTCAATTTCAGAGCTTATTGGTCTATTCAGGGATTCAACTTCTTCCTGGTTTAGTCTTGGTAGGGTGTATGCGTGCAGAAATTTACTCATTTCTTCTAGATTTTCTAGTTTATTTGCATAGAGGTGTTCATAGTATTCTCTGATGGTAGTTTGTATTTCTGTGGGGTCAGTGGTAATATCCCCTTTATCATTTTTTATTGTGTGTATTTGATTCTTCTCTTATTAGTCTAGCTAGCGGTCTGTTTTAATTTTTTCAAAAAACCAGCTCCTGGATTCGTTGATTTTTTGGAGGGTTTTTAAATGTCTCTATCTCCTTCAATTCTTCTCTGATCTTAGTTATTTCTTACCTTCTGCTAGCTTTTGAATTAGTTTGCTCTTACCTATCTAGCTCTTTTAATTGTGATGTTAGGGTGTTGATTTGAGATCTTTCTAGCTTTCTGATGTGGGCATTTGGTGCTATAAATTTCCCTCTTAACAGTGCTTTAGCTGTGTCCCAGAAATTCTGGTACATTGTCTCTTTGTTCTCATTGGTTTCAAAGAACTACTAGATTTCTGCCTTAATTTCATTATATACCCAGGAGTCATTCAGGAACAGGTTGTTCAATTTCCATGAAATTATGTGGTTTTGAATGAGTTTCTTAATCTTGAGTTCTACTATGATTGCACTGTGGTCTGAGAGACTGTCTGTCATGATTTCAGTTCTTTTGCATTTGCTGAGGAGTGTTTTATTTCCAATTGTGTGGTTGATTTTAGAATAAGTGCCATGTGGCACCAAGAAGAATGTATATTCTGTTGATTTGGGGTACAGAATTCTGTAGACTTCTACTAAGTCCACTTAATCCAGAGCTGAGTTCAAGTCCTGAATATCCTTGTAAATTTTCTGTCTCATTGATCTGTTTAATACTGACAGTGGGGTGTTAAAGTCTCCCCCTATTATTGTGTGGGAGTCTAAGTCTCTTTGCAGGTCTCTGAGAACTTATTTTATGAATCTGGGTGCTCCTGTATTGGGTACATATATATATTTAGAATAGTTAGTTCTTCTTGTTGAATTGTTCCCTTTACCATTATGTAAATACCCTTCTTTGTCTGTTTTTATTTTTATTGCTTCAAAGTTTGTTTTGTCAGAGACTAGGATTGCAACCCCTGCTTTTTTTTTTTTTTTTTTTTTTCTTTCCATTTGCTTGGCAAATTTTCCTCCATCCCTTTATTTTGAGCCTGTGTGTATCTCTGCATGTAAGATGGGTCTCCTGAATACACGATACCAATGGGTCTTGACTCCTTATCCAATTTGCCAGTCTTTTAATGGGGCATTTAGCCCATTTACGTTTAAGGTTAATATTGTTATGTGTGAATTTGACCCTGTCATAATGATGCTATTTGGTTATTTTGTACACTAGTTGATGCAGTTTCTTTGTAGTGTCATTGGTCTTTATATTTTCGTGTGTTTTTGCAGTGGCTAGTACCGGTTTTTCCTTACCATACTTAGTGCTGCTTTCAGGAGACATTGCAGGGCAGGCCTGGTGGTAACGAAATCCCTCAGCATTTGCTTGTCTGGAAAGGATTGTATTTCTCCTTCGCTTACGAAGCTTAATTTGGCTGGATATAAGATTCTGGGATGAAAATTCTTTTCTTTAAGAATGTTGAATATTGGCCCCCAATCTCTTCTGGCTTGTAGAGTTTCTGCTGAGAAGTCCATTGTTAGTCTGATGGGCCTCCCTTTGTAGGTGACCTAGCCTTTCTCGCTCTGTCTGCCCTTAGTTTTTCCTTCATTTTGACCTTGGAGAATCTGATGATTATGTGTCTTGGGGTTGATCGTCTCATAGAGTATCTTAATGGTGTTCTCAGTAGTTCCTGAATTTGCAGGTTGGCCTGTCTTGGTAGTCTGAGGAAGTTCTCCTGGATAATATACTGAAGTGTGTTTTCCAGCTTATTTCCATTCTCCCCATCTCCTTCTGGTACTCCACTCAATCGTGGGTTCGGTCTTTTTATGAGGTCCCGTATTTCTTGGAGGCTTTGTTCATTCTTTTTTCTCTATTCTTGTCTGCATGTCTTATTTCAGTAAGGTGGTCTTCAAACTCCGATATTCTTTCTGCCGCTTGGTCAATTCAGTTGTTGATACTTGTTTGTGCTTCACGATACTTGTATATGCTTCACGAAGTTCTCGTGCTGTTTTTCAGCTCCATCAGGTTGCTTATGTTCCTCTCTAAACTGGTTATTCTAGTTAGCAATTCCTCTAACCTTTTATCGAGGTTCTTGGCTTCTTTGCATTGGGTTAGAACATGCTCCTTTACCTCATTGTAGTTTTTTTTATAACCCATCTTCTGAAGCCTACTTCTGTCCGTTCGTCCATCTGATCCTCCGTCCAGTTCCGTGCCCTTGATGGAGAGATGTTGCAATCATTTGGAGGAGAAGAGGCACTCTGGTCTTTTGGGTTTTTCAGCATTTTTTCATTGATTCTTTCTCATCTTCGTGAGTTTGTCTAGTTTCAGTCTTTGAGGCTACTACCCTTGGATGAGATTTTTGTGGGGACCTTTTATTTTATTGTTGTAGTTGATGCTGTTGTCACTTTCTGCTTGTTTTTCTTTCACTAGTCCAGTCCCTCTTCTGTAAGGCTGCTGCAGTTTGCTGGTGGTTCACCTTCAGTCCTTATTCAGCTGATTTGCTCTCGTGCCTGGAGATGTCACTCAAGGATGCTGGAGGGCAGCAAAGATGGGTGCCTACTCCTTCTTCTGGGACCTCTGACCTCAAGGGGCACCAACCTGATGCCAGCAGGATCGCTCCTGCACAGGGTACCTGACAAGCCCTGCTGAAGCGTCTCACCCAGTTGGGTGGCAAAGGGAGCAGGACCAGTTTCATGGAGTACTCTGCCCCTTGGTGAAGAGGGTATGTTTTGCTTGGGGGAAACCCACTCGTCTGGGCTGTCCAGATTCCTTGGAACTACCAGGAGGAAAAGCTAAGTCTGTTGGTCAGCAGAGACTGCGGCCATCCCTCCCCTACGGGCTGAGGCCCAGGAGATCTGAATTCTGTCCCTCAGCCTTTGGCTGGAGTTATTGGAGATCCTGCAGGGAAGCCCCCCGACCCCAACTAAGGAAGGATGGGTAGGGATTGGGCCTGAAGAGGCACTCTGGCCGCAGACTGCCAGTCGGTGTGTTGGGCTGTGGGGACAAGTCTTGGGGCCAAGTTGTCCAGCCTCCCTGGCTCTGGGAGGGGAAAAGCATAGCCTGTGGCTATAGAAATGGGTGCCACCCTTCCCCCCGTCCAGGGAGCTTAGCATATTAGGCAGTTGCCAGTGCCAGTGCTGCCTGCTACCACTCCCCACAGGAGCTCAAAGGGCTTAGACAGCAGGCAGCTGCAGCCGGTACTGGTCACCCCTCCCCAAGGAGTTCGGTAAACTTAAGCAGATTCCAGCTGAGAGGCTGTAAGAATCTGCATGTTCCGGGGTTGGGATGGGACGCTAGGTCCCGGTGGCATGGGTTCACGAGTGGGATCTTCCAATCCATGGGTTTCACAGTTCCACGGAAAAGCACAGTTTCCCGAGCTGGGTAGCGCGCTCACTCACTGCCTGCCTCGGCTGGGCTGAGGGGGTTCCCCTTCCCCGTGTGGCTCTCAGGTGGGCCGCCACACCACACTGTTCTTCCTTCTCTCTGTGGGTCACGCCAGCCTTCTAGTCAGTTTTGATGAGAGAACCTGGATACCTTGGTTGCTGGTGAAGGATTCACACGCTTATTATGGATATTTCTGATGGGAGCCTCTGAACACCGTGGCTTCTAGTTGACCATCTTGGCCCCGCCCTCCGTAAAACGTTTTTAAATTCACTGATTTGAGTCTTGGAGGCTTGGAAGTTCAAGATCAATCAGCCTACATATGGTGATGACCTTCATGAGTTCTGCAGGCTGAGAAGTTCACAATTAAGGCACCAGCAGGATTGATTATTTGGTGAGGGATGTTCTCTGCTTCCTTCCAACATGGCACCTTGTCGCCGTATCATCCAGAGGGCAGAGGGGAGGAACACTGTGTCTCCACATAGCAGAAAGTGGAAGGGCAAGAGACTAGAAATCTTCATTCTTTCAAAAAAGCTTTAGGCCTTGAACAGCAGAGATGAAAGAAAGAAAAATGGTCCCTGCCTTCTAGGAACTTACTATGTGTTTACATCCACAAAGTAATTGGAGAGAGTAGTCTATTAGGGACATGGGTTTGGAGCAAGACAGAAATGAATGTGAACCCCAGCTCTGCTCCCTGCCAGCTGGTAAGTAACCCATGTTTCTGGAGGAGAGGTTCTACGTGTATGGGAAGAAAGGTGAGAAGCTCAGCAGCCTGCACTCAAGACTAGCATCATAACCAAAGCTGGGCGGGAGGACAGAAACGCCAGCTGCCTGCACAGGCACTAAGCAGAGAAGATGAGATGGACACATAATGGGTGGCCCTGTGACAGACAGCTTAAACTGGAGGAGGCATTTGACTGAGCAGCCAGTGAGGAAGCAGGGCTGGTCTTGAGCAAGATAAGTGTGTAACTGTGAAGGAGACCCACCTGTCTATCAATTTTCTAGGTCCACAAGAAAATGTCAAAAGAAAACAGGTGAAGTTACATTTAATAATACGTTCTATTTTATTCCATGTATCCAAGTGATCATTTCAACATGTAAACCGTATTACATTATCAACAAGGTATCTTGCACTCTTTCTTTTTGAACTAAGTCTTTGAAATCCAGTGTGTATTTTATACCTCTACAAGGCATCTCAATCTAGACTGGCCACATTTCAAGCACTCCACAGCCACATGTGGCCCATGGCTACCATACTGGAAATTGCAAAGCTACATGGCAACAAAATAATCCAAGGAACTCCCAAAGGAGGCTGTAGGCTATGGGAGAAGGGGCGGAGGGGAGAAAATCTCACAGGAAAGAATTTCCAACAGGGCAAGAAGAGGGAAGTATAATTTGCTGTACCTTTCACGGTGGGCCTGGTGCTCTGCGAGGCATCTAATATGATATGATTTCCTCCACCCTCACAGAAATCTGGAAGAAACAGTAAAATAGCAGCAGTGTCACATACCTGACAAGAGCCTAATAGTACATCAATAATAAAGTCAGTATTATCCCATTTTGTTGTGCTAAAAACAAGGCATGATGAGGTTAACAAACCTGCAGGCGGCAAGACTTGGCCCAGGGCATTCCAAAGCTCAAGGTCCCTTCCTTTTCACCAGGGGGACCCCAGAGTCCACCATCACAGTAGCCTTTGGCATTAGCTCCCTGAACTGCAACAGTGGAGAAGGCAGCCCCCAGGGGTCGTCACAGATCACCATGGTCCAAGGAGCAAGAGAAGCAGAGCTTTGCCATCTCACTGAGGCCCAAACTCAATCATTAAGCTGTCTGAGTCCCTCACCACAGCCCAGTGCCACAAGGTGCTGAGCTCATCCATGTTCACAGTAACTCTTGTTATGATGATGGATGCCAACAATGGTATCTTTTGCACACTCACTCTGAGTGACATGGGAATAGAGAACTTTGCATGTATTGCCGCCTGTCAAACTCCAAAGTCAATCAAGACAGATGTTACTATGCCCAACTTGCTCTCGGTCACACCACTAGGATGGGTGGGGACTGAAATACAGGTCAGTCTGACTGCAAAGTCCTTGTACTTGACCCTTATGCTATGAGGTGTCCTCTCACGATCCCGAGTCCTGTGTACTGTCCAGCTACACTGTCCTATGTGGTGAGAAGAAAATGAATGAGGACTGAGGTATCTAGGGCTTCCCACAGACTTGCAGAGCTTCTGGCTGCCAGCCCCGCTGACACTGAAGGCCAGATGGTCTTGGCTGCTGTGGAGCTACCCTGTGCACTGTGAGATGCTCAGCAGTACCCCTGCTCTCCATCCAGTAGATGACAGTAGCACTCCTTAACCCAGTGTGACAACCAAAACCGTCTCCAGACATTGCCGAATGTCCCCTGGGGAAAAAAAATTACCTTTCTGATTGAAAAGCAATGCACAGACATCCCCCACCTTCCCTGGCAGACATTAGGATGGGTTGTGCATGCTCTGGGCACAGGGCCCTGCCACAGTCTCAGCTCCCTCACAGCACTTGCAAGATTCTCAATTCCCACACCGCTGCTACTGCAGGAGCCCCAGGAGGGGCACCCACCACAATTGGGTAGGTGCAGGTTCTGTTTGGAGAGTAGTTTTTTTTGTTTTTTTTTTTTTTGAGATGGAGTCTTGCTCTTGTTGCTCAGGCTGGAGTGCAATGGCGCAGTCTCGGCTCACTGCAACCTCCACCTCCTGGGTTTGAGCGATTCTCCTGCCTCAGCCTCCCAAGTAGCTGGGATTACAGGCACCCGCCACCATGCCCGGCTAATATTTTGTGTTTTTAGTAGAGACGGGGTTTCATCATGTTGGCCAGGCTGGTCTCGAACTCCTGAACTCCTGACCTCAAATGATCTGCCTGCCTCGGCCTCCCGAAGTGCTGGCATTACAGGCATGAGCCACCGCACCCAGATGCTTTTTTTTTTTTTTTTTTTTTTTTTTTTTTGAGACAGGGTCTTCCTTTGCTGTCCAGGCTGTAGTGCAGTGGTGCCATCATGGCTCGCTGCAGCTTCCAACTCCTGAGCTCAAGTGATCCTCCTTCTTCAGCCTCCCATGTTGCTGGGACCACAGGCATACACTACCATATCCGGCTAAAAAGAGATGGGGTCTTGTTATGTTGCCCATGCTAATCTCGAACTCCTGGGCTCAAAGCTATCTTCCCGTCTCAGCCTCCCAAAGCACTGGGATCACAGGTGTGAGCCACCGCACTCAGCCAAGAGCAACTCCTTTTTTTATTTTTTTATTTTTTGAGACAGGGTTTTGCTCTTGTTGCCCAGGCTAGAGTGCAATGGCCTGATCTCAGCTCACTGCAACCTCTGCCTCCCAGGTTCAAATGAGATTCTCCTGCCTGCCTCAGTCTCCCAAGTAGCTGGGGTTATAGGTGCCTGCCAACACGCCTGGCTAATTTTTGTATTTTTAGTAGAGACAGGGTTTCACCATGTTGGCCAGGCTGGTCTTGAACTCCTGACCTCAGGTGATCCACCCGCCTTGGCCTACCAAAGTGCTGGAATTACAGGCATGAGCCACTGCACCTTGCCAGAGCAGCTCTTAAGAATTCTGACATCAAATGAGACAGCCCTGACTCAAGATGACCATGCGTTCTTTCTGGGGCTGACGTTTGTCCCTTTATGTGATGATCTTGGCCAGCTTGTGACTGAAACAGGATGCGAACATTTTAACTGGATGGCCCCCTTGACCAGCAGTAATAGTTCTGTTCCTCTCTCAGTCTCACAAACATCAGCATTTTTTATTCACTCTTTCCCCTTTCTCCTCCGACCTATGTGGCTGCCCACTGGTACAATGCTGAGTAACTTCCATTACCAGGGACAGCACTCTCTTTCATCTTTTTATTGTCCTTTCCCTCCCTGTAATGACTAGCGGGTGAGGTCCTCAGGTCACATCAAGGGCAAGCTGGTCTCTAGCATGTATGTGACTCTGCAATGGACAGGAGTGGTGACAAACATCTCAATCTGTGACCCTCTTTCAGGGGTTCTGGGAAGGACACTGATCACGCTGGCATAGTCTAGCCACAGACAATCAGGACACCCGACCATGAGAAAGGGCAGTGGGAACCAAGGAACACATAAGAAGGCTCTATCGCACCATGTTAAAGTCGGCGACCAGAGCTGTCCACCATTCAGTGACAGCCTGTCACCCGTGAGCGCCTCTGCAGGGGCTGCTCCTCAACAAAGCCACCGCGCTGCTCTCTGCATCAGGGGAGCCAAGGAAGCAGCGCCTGCTGGAGGGGAGACATTCCAGAACCCCTACCCAAGCCCAAGACCCCAAGCAAGGGGGGCATCTCCCCGGGCAAAGCGGCCTGATAGATGTGGAACACAGCAAAGCCTCCTCTATCTCATCATTAATGTCCCAACTGCCTTGGGCTCAGATCTCAGCACTGTGCAACCCAAAGAGGAAACCCAGCTCGCAGACAGCACGCAAACCCTAACTGCAAATCAGGAAACTCCCGCCTCCATGTCCCCAGAGGGCAGTAGAGCCGGGGGCAATGTGATTCCGCCACAGGCTTGCTCCAAGACAGTGACCTCAAGGGGCAGCCAGTCTCCTGTGGTCTATGCAGAATTGTCAGATACACGCAAAGAAGGCAAGGGCTGGATCAGCACCTGCTGTGGCTCTCAGTGCTCCTGAACAAACTGCTGGGAGCCCCGGCCCGGCTCAGCCCTCCAGGGCTCAGCCACAGAGCTGCCAGGCCTTTGCTCAGGACTGCATGCTGCACATCCATTATTTTGTTTATCAAGGAGCTGTCAGGGAGAGCAGATTCCTCATTGCTGTTCTCTAAGGCCTATAGGTTTCCAACCTTATTAGTTCAGGGCAGGCTCAAAGGCAGGCCTAAACACCCTCTTTCCAGCTAGAATTCAATGCATGCTGCTCGCCGTCACTCTGACTCACTTCAACAGCCATCTGAAAACACAGGACATTGTCCTCTTCCTTCTTTGCCTTATAAAATGAGTGACGGAGCAGCTTAAATGAGGGCCTATCTTTGTTCTCGTAACACACTGATTATGTCAATGACTTTCACTGATAACACTATGTGTAGGTATCCATGTTATTGAAACGACCCAGAGAACAGAAATCAAATCATTATTTGAACAAAAGACAAAAAAAGAAAAATTAATTTGTATAAAATTTTAGAAACGCATTAGCTGGGAGTAAAGAGCAGGAAAGGGAAAATAGGCCGGGCACAGCGGCTCGTGCATGCTTGTAATCCCAGCACTTTGGGAGGCCGGAGCAAGAGGATCACTTGAGCCCAGGAGTTCCAGACCAGCCCGGGAAACTTAGGGAGACCCCATCTCAAAAGAAAGAGAAGAAAGAGAGGAGGAGGGAGGAAGGGAGGAAGGGAGGAAGGGAGGGAGGGAGAGAGAGAGGGAGAGAGGGAGAGAGGGGGAGAGAGGGAGAGAGGGAGAGGGAGGGAGAAAGGGAGGGAGGGAGAGAAAGAGAGAGAGAGAGAAAAGAAAAAAGAAGGAAGGAAGGAAGGAGAAAGAGGGAGGGAGGGAGGGAAAGAGGGAGGTAAAGAGAGAGAGAAAGAAAAGAAAAAAGAGAAGAAAAGTAAAAAAAAAAAGAAAGAAGGGAAGAGAAGGAAGGGGAGGGGAGGGGAAGAGGGGGAGGGGAGGGGAAGAGAGGGGAGGGGAGGGGAAGAGAGGGGAGGGAAGGAGGGGAAGAGAGGGGAGGGGAGGGGGGAAGAGAGGGGAGGGGAGGGGGGAAGAGAGGGGAGGGGAGGGGAGGAGGGGAGGGGGGAAGAGAGGGGAGGGGAGGGGAGGGGAGGAAGGGAGGGAGGGAGAGAGAGAAAAAGAAAGAAAAAAGAAAAGAAAGGAGGGAAGGGAAGGAAGGGGAGGGGAAGAGAGGGGAGGGGAAGAGAGGGGAGGGGAAGAGAGGGGAGGGGAGGGAGGGGGGGGAGGGAGGGAGGGAGGGAGGAAGGAAGGAGAGAGAGAGAAAGAGGGAGGGAGGGAGGGAGGGAGGCAGGAAGGGAGAAACACGCTAATCTCTATCTCCTGGGCTCAAGCAATCCTCCTGTCTCAGCCTCCCAGTGGAAGCACACTGTTTTGGGTATCCATAGACATGAAGAGAAAGTTTGAAATACCCACCCAACTATCTGTGATTAGCACCTACATTTGTGTTACTCGTAGCCAATGTAGCTTTCAAGTTTATGAAACGCAGCACCCCGTGAGCTTAACTACGTATTTGTTATGTCAGGGTTCCTTTTGCTAACTGCTCTTGTGGGCTTTCAGGCTCTCTCTGTGTAAGTCTTTTTTTTTTTTGAGACGGAGTCTGGCTGTGTCTCCCAGGCTGGAGTGCAATGGCAGGATGTTGCCTGACTGCAACCTCCACCTCCTGGGTTCAAGTGATTCTCCTGCCTCAGCCTCCCTAGTAGCTGGGAGTACAGGCACACACCACCACACCCAGCTAATTTTTGTATTTTTTGTAG